CTTGGGACCGCTTACCTTTGCCCAGCTCCGGCGAGACTCATCCAAGCAGCGCAGCGTGGCCACAGTCACATTTTGATAGCAAACATCTTCCTGAGCGTCAGATCACGGTCTCGAACATTTAAAGCTGACATCATATGAAGTCACTTTGAGCAGAATGACATGGGGATGCCACCATGGATCTTCCCCAAGCCGAGGCGCCGGGCTGGAGCGCGGTGGGTTGGGGCAGAGAGAGGAAGACGAGCCCCCCCTCTCCACGCACAATTTCCTTCCAGTTTAAGACGCACAAATCGCTCGTGTGCGAGCTGGGTTTTTCCTCTCTCTCTCCCTTCTTAAAAAGCAACTTGCAAAGCAGAGGAATCGTTTTGCATGTGGCAAATTAGAAGGCAAGTGCGATTCACAAGTTGGGTGGAAAAGAGTGCTCCAGTTCTTGCTGGGGTTAGAAGAGCCACTCCGAATGAGCGTGAGGATTTTTTTTTTCTTCTTCTTCCTTTTTTTTTTTTTTTAAAGAAGGGGGAGAATGATTTTTTTTTTTTCTAAAGCAACTACCACGCAACCATGCTCGAGTTATTTTGGCAACCCATCTGCAATCAGCTCCGTTGCAACCGAGCTGGAAGATAATTAATAAATTGTCACTTATCTGCGAGCCTCTCCAGCATGTATAAATTAATAGCCAACCCATTAATTAGGACAGTGTATTAATGTTAATTAAACTAAGTTTAATTCCAGCCCTCTCCCCTCTCAGGGTAACTGGTGATTAGCCTTAAATAAATGCGGAGGGAGTCATGTCCAGGACTCGAATTCGCTGCTGAAAAAAAATTTACAAAAATAATAATGAAAAGGACCCGTGTTCAGCAAAGGGAAGTTCTGCAAGTTGTCACCCCCTAAAGGTGTCCGCTGCCCCGGGGGCACCCGGCGACTCTCCCCTGCCCTTGTAGCCCTTGTCCTGTCCCTCCTCCCCACTGCCCCCAGCACTTTCTTCTTCCCCCTTTCCCCCCCCGCCCCCCCCAAACAGGCGACGCTACATTATAGCGCCTGGATGCCGGGGTATCTTGCCTTCCTCTCTCTAATTAAAACACCGTGATGCGGGAGGGGAGGATTTGCAGAACCCTCACATGCGAGGACGCGGTAATTGAGAGAGTCCCGCGTACACCTGTTTGGGGGGGCCCGGCTGCAGGGCAGCACCCCCCGGGCTCTGATTAGCCGCCCCGTCCCTCGCCGGGGCTATTCAGCCGAACCAATTTTCCCCCGGCGATTCAGGGCGCTCAATTCTCTTTCACTTGTAGCCACTATAGCGCTGCGTGGAACCTGGTTTTGTGTGTTTCTAAAATAAAGGGGAGGATTATCCGGGGGAGAGGGGGGGAGCGAAGGGTTTAGATTGAGCCTGGCCAGAGGTAAAGCAAGCAATGAAAAGGCCCCTATATATATATTTTTCCCCCTCCCTCGCGCGTCTAAGAAAGTTTAGAGGAATTCGGGGGTTTTGTGCGGCGCTGACAAAGCCGCGCCTCCTCTCCCCGCCGGGACAGCTCGCCGGCGGCTGTTTGCAGACAGGCTTTTTCACCTGCGAACCACAACACGCTCCAGAAACAAACTTTAAAAGCGGCGGCCGTCCCGGGCTGCCTGCGGGCGGAGGGGAGCGCCCAGCCCCGGGGTTCACCCCGCCTGGAGCATCCATCGGGTGCTGGATCCCGCCCAGCGCTGCCCGCCCGGATCCGCCGGGTCAGCGTGCGGGGAGCGACCGAACCGTCCCGCTCCCGGGGAGAGGCTGGGACGGAGCCGCAGGAGCCGTGCCCGGTGTCTGGGCTGCGGGAGAGCCCGGCTGAGCCCCGGGAGGCTCGCAGAGGCCGAGCCGCGGTGCCCGCCCAGCCCGCGCCTCCTCCGGGCAGCGGGAGCGGGCAGGCGGCGCTGGGCTGGGCTCCGCTCGCTGCCGGGGCTCGCCGGCTTTAGCGAAGTATTTAATTAGCCTCCACAAACTTCTTTTCCTCGCCTGCAGATTATACTGAGTGGAGGGTTGGGAACTATTTTACACCTTGCCACTCACATGTTAATTAATCTCTATCTAACCCTAATTGCAGTTTATTCAAGCACCGCTCAAACAGCTCACCCACACAATAAACACTGGGGCTGCTTTTATCCATATTACTCCCCGCTCACACGTTGAGTAATTAACTCCAGTACCAACTAATAGTGCAAACAAATATTTTCTGTAAACGAGATGATTTCGGGCAGGATAAAAGAAGGGCTGCGGAGCCGGGACCGGGAGCTCGCTGCCAGCTTCCCCGAGCCGCCCTCGTCCTCGCCGGGGTGTTTGCTGAGCCGGGTCTCTCCCTCTTTCCCTCCTTCCCCGGCCAAGGGGACAGCTGGCGGCTCGCTGCTGGGCACCCACCGCCCTGCTCGGGGCAGCGGGTCCCGCAGGCCTCGGGGCTCCTGGGGGCGAGGGGAGCCAGGGGGGCCCTCGCCGAGTCCCGGGGCTGCCGCCTTCCCGCATCCCGAGGCCGGGCACCCGCTCGGGCCGTGCCGCTGCCTCCCGGCCAGCTCCAAGCCGGGTGCCGCACGCCTCACGCATCAGGGCGTTGAGATCCCAGCTAAGACCCGGGCATCAGAGCTCAGTATTTTAATTGAAATCGCAGGTTTAGGCACAGCTGGAGGCCGTCTCTATCGATTCGACTTCTGCCGTTCCGGCGAGCATATTACAACTGACTGACTTTGAGCCAGCTGCCCCGGCCCCGCCGCCTGCCCAGCGCCGAGCCCGAGCCCCGGTGCTCCCGGAGAGCCGGGCGGGAGGGCCGGGCTGGCTCTGGGGGTGGCTCTGGGGTGGCTCTGGGGGGCCCAGCGGCCCTGCCCGGCTTTGGGGGGCAGCAGCCTCCGCACGTCGGGCGCTCAGCGGGCTCCGGGCTCGGCCCCGCGTTCCGCCTCCGCCGTGGAGGCAGCTCTCCCGTGGGGCTTTAATCCTTCACCCCCGACATTTGGAGGGAGAAATGGTTTGCGGATTTTTCCCCAGAAGGCGCACGCCGCGGAGACGCTCCCATTGCGGACGCGATCGCTCCTGCGGTTGTTTTTACGCCGCTGCCTCCCCAGATAAACGAGTGCGGTGCCCGGGCGGGCCGGGCCGGGCCCATGTGGGACACTCCGGGTCACCCGGGGCTCCTCCAGCCCCGCTGCCCTCGGGGGTCCCGTCCGCGCCCGGCGGCCCCGGCCCCAAACCCTCCCCGGGCTCTGACATCGAAAACGGGCGGGGGTTCCCCTTTCTCCCCTCCACCGCCGGCCCCACTCCGTGAGGGGATCCCGGGGACTGTCCCGGGCCGGTCCCGGGCGGGCGGGAGCGCAGGGCCCCGCGGGCTCGGCCCGGCTCATCGTCCGTCGGGCCCCTCCGCCCGGGCAGCCGGCGCTGGGCATTTCTGGTCCACTGGGAGATAACTTAGGATCCTCCTAGTTATTTAACTTGGCAGCTGCTTAAACTCCGCAGTGGAAGCTGCCGAAAGTTATTAGCATTATGCTTCAGTCTCCCCGAAATGGTGGCTTTGATTTCCATGCTGCTTTGCTTTTTATAGGTGTTTTTCTAAATACTTTTTTGCCCAATTCTGTTCCCTATTATTTTTTATTAGAAGGTGATGGATTGCCGGGTGAGCCGCCGGCCCAGGCAATTTGGATGGGGCTGTCTTTGTGAGCCAGGGTGGGGGAACAGCTTTTCCTGCGGCTTTGCAGCTTCGTGCAAGGGTGCGCCGGAGGGGCCCGGGGTCGGGCTGGGAGAAGGGCTGGGCTGCGGTGCTGCCCGGCCCTGGCCCCACCGTGCTGGGTTTGGGTCTCTCTCCCTGCAAGGCAGCGATTTCAACCTCGAAGGGTCGGCTCAGGGGTGCTCCCAACGTGTTTGGCCGCAAGTGAGTTTGCAGTGGTCAGAGACTGGACAAATTAATGAGCAACGAACAGAGAAGTCAGGATAGCAAAGTTTGGGGCAGAGGTGAAATGAGGGTTGTTATCCATGTGAATCTTTCAGGTTATTCCTTTGAAACTGCGATACTTGGTCCAAGGGAGCAGTGCCCCTGCAGCTCTGTGTGCCTCAGTTCCCACGGGCAGTCCATTCTGTTCTGCAGGACCCAGAGCATTGGGGTGACCCGGCTTCCCTGTCACCCTACGGACACTGCCACACCGGGGCAGGGATGGTGCCTGGCAAGGCCACCTTGGATGGAGCAGTGGCTTTGAGACCCTCCCAAGGTATTTTTTTCATTCCTTCTTGTTGAGTTATGTACGTTGCTGCTTAACTATAGGCAGATAATTTTATTTTATATTTTTAGATTTTTTTTTTTTAATTGGGGAGCTAAGTTTTTGGAGCACTGTAGAGGTTCCAGAGGAAGTGTGGTTAGTGGGATGTTGGAAGCAAACTGGCTCAGAGTCTTTGCATGGCTGTACTGGTCTATGTTGTCAGTGATGGCAGGAGTAACATCGACATTTTCAACCTGAATCCAATTTTAAAAGCTGGTATCTGACCTGCTTCTAAAACCGTTTGCAATCCAGTCCCACTGCAAAGCAACCGGCAGGGCACCGTGGCAGGAGCTGCACAGAGTGCCTCGATGGCAATCAAATGGGCTTATGTAATTCTAAAAATGGCAACTCCTTACTTGCCACATCTCTTTCTGTCTGTGCGGAGAGTCCTGCAGAGCTGCCAAACAGAAGCAACTGAATGAACTCTTTTCCCGGCTCATTCCTCCTTCCGCAGCTCGGAGAAAGTGAGCCAGAGCCTATTCTAGTTTGCCTGTCAACAGGAATGGTAACTAACGGCTCGATCCCAGCCAGGCTTTATGCCCCAAAAACGCTGCCTGCCTGCCTGTGAGGAGCAGAGAGAGACATCCCGGGGGAAACCGAGCTCTGGTGTCAGACTGGTCTGGTCCCACAACGCAGGTGAGCAGTCCTTGGAATCCACACCATGTCCAAAGCCAACCTGCCCAGTAATGCAAGGAGGAAATTGTTGAAAGGGTGAGCTGCTCTTCTCCATCTTCATTGTCAGGAATATCATCCTTCGCATTGCAGTAATGGAGCAATGCTGCCTTTCGTTTCTGAACACTGAAACTGAAAGATGTTCCTTCCTAATGTTTTGAAATGTTGGACTTTTTTTTTTTTTTGACGGAGTGGGAGCTTTTAAGTTTTTCTGGGTTTGTAGGGGTTTTTTCCCCTTATTTTCTATTTAGGAGAAAAGGTGGGAGGAAGTAGAGAAGGAGAATATAATGGGGGGATGGCCTTGTTCTCACTTTCCTACTGAAAACGTTTCAGGAAAAGGAACAAAAAACAGTGAAAATGGGTAGAAGCCCACTTCAGTTTCATGTTCCTATTCCTTCCCTTTTTTTTGCTTGAAAGAAGGAAGGCCAAAAAAGTAAGTGGGACAAACTCCACGTGTTTTGAATTATTCTCCCCTTAATGAGATAGAAAAACATCTCATTTTCAAAATTACTTCCTTTTTCAATGAAGAAAATCGAACAGAGAAAGAATCCTTCCAATACCAATCTTTCCACTGTCATTTTCCCACTCACTCCTCACTCAGTGCTGTCCAGTCTTTCTGGCTGTGCCACACCAGGTTGTTTGCGATTGTATTTGCCGTTTTTTGAACTGTTGTCACAGATGTTCTTACCTGCTGCACAGCTGGACCCCATGGTCTCCATGGTGTGGAGGTGGCAGCACCTTGTCCCCTTGCCCTGGGGAGGGTGGGACAGGCTGGACTGCAGCATCCCTGTCCCTCATGGTGGCTAAGGCAGAGAGAGCCTGGCAAGGCTCCCAGATTGACAAGTGAAAGTGTTGCTGTGCTGCTTGGGCACAAGAAATGGGTTGATTCATGAAGACATGATCTAGAAAAGCCACTAAAAATCCCCCCAAAAATGAGAGCCCCGACTAAAAAAACCAGACCTCGTTACTGGAGGAAAAAAACTTCAGTGCACAACCCAAGTATTTCCTGAGTGTTCAAGAACACCCACAAATTATGTAAAAATAGATGAGAATTTATTTATTTGATTTAATTATGAGTCTAGATTGTGATTTTTGGGGTGGGGCTGGAGATGGTGCAATTGAAAAAACAATTGTGCAAAAAGCCAGGGCAAGTCGTCAGCCCTGGGGCACAGAGGAGCTGCTTCAGCCCTTCCTCACCAAACACAGAGCACTGCAGAACCCACCAGGAGCTCTCAGAGTTCTTGGGTGGAGACCAGGGTAGCTGTTTCTCCATGGAGCTCTAGGGCTTTGGTCCCACAGTGCGTGGATGAGGCTGCTGGGTTCCATGGCCATGGCCAGTTTGTGCTGGAGGGAAACTGGCTCATCAATTCCTGCTGATACATCATCAAGGTAGGTCTGTCATGGTGAGCATTAGCTGCCCCTGGTGGGTCACCCTTCCCATCCCCATTGGCTGACTCCCAGAGCTGCTGAACCTGGCTATGGGAGATGTTCCTGTCCCTGCTGTGAGGGTCTGGATGGGCTCGGAGGCTGCCACGTCTCTGCCTCTGACGTAAAACCAAACCCTCAATCTTTGCCTGTTTAGCTGGATAGAAAATACCTCTCCTGTCACCAGAGTTCATCACCACCACGTTCTCCACCAGTCTTTGAGCTATTTATCTCCTCCTACCTCCCTTGCAGTGCGTGCTTCTCCTCTCCAGCTGACAGCCTGGGACAGCCCCGACATCAGCTGCTGGTGGAGCTCTCTGTGCAGAAAGCCAGTCCTGAACGTGTGGCCTTTGCTCCCCCCAGCTGTCATATCCTCCAGGATCTGCAACAAGTCCTGATTTTACAGACCCCATCTTGACAGTCCCCAATCTGATCTGACCACCTGGTTTGTTTTTGAATCGAGCACTTGAGTCATAACATTTCTGTTTATTTCAACAACTGTATTCCTTGCATAGGAAATGAGCCAAGATGGTCTAAGGCGGGGATAGCGAAGCATGTCATGGCTGTAATTACTTTTGCTCTCCCAATATAAAATTTTACAGTATAATCAAAACCTTATTTTCGTAGCACTGGACTCTGTTATTGACTTAATCTTCTTAAGTGCTCCTATTATTCCAGTGATTTCATCGTTGTATGTTGATTTTAATCTTTTGATCTCCATATTAGCTACTGCCTGCAACTAATTTGTTGCTCAGTGTTTTTCTTTGTTTTGACCTGTGAGGCATTTTCCTCATGGCACACAACTCTGCTGGCAGATTGCATATAATCTCTGCACTTTTTTTCTCCCATATTTTGCATAGTTACAACAAATGCGGATTTATGACTTGAAATGGAATATGTATCTTTCAGAAAGGCTGAGGAAAATATCACTTCAGGTTTAGCTTGAAAGCCTAAACTTGTTTGATCAAAGGAAATATCATGGAATGCAGCTCACCAGAGAGAGGTGTCACACAGGCTTTTTTTAGTCCAGCAAGTTCATGATGGGTGAAAACTGCAATAATTATATTATATGCAGTCAGGATCGAAGAGTTCTGAAAGCAGGGCTAGACATAAGATGGAGAAGGCTGGGTTTTGTGAATGGCTCAAAGGACTCTCCCAGCCAAGCTTGGTTTGATACAACAGTGGCTTTGTTGAATCCTGGCAACATGGAACAGGTTTTTGAACAAATACTGGTGATGGAAGTGCAGAGTTCTCAGCTCCACAGCCGAAGTGCAGAGGTGGACATAGAGCTCAGCTGCATTTTGGTTGCCCATTAAACAGCAACTTTTTTCCCTTTGGTATTGATGTTTTAACCTGTGCAGATTTATCATGTGCTTTGTTTGCATTAGCTTTTTCTTTTAAAGCTTAGAGAAATAATTTTTGCCTTAGGTTTGCTGTGACTTTTTAAAAAATAACACAGCCTGAATGTTGGCAAAATCATCTTTGCTTTGTTGCATGCCTGTTTATGCTTCTGAACACAAATTGTCTTCTAATATTTTTGACGTTTTGGTCACTAGAAAGGCAGAAAAGCAATTTCTAAGATGCCTATGGGCCAGAAGAAATGCATTACAGCAGAGGGGAAAGAATCTGTTAGTTGGTGAAATATAAAACAAATTGGATGAACAGCTGCTGACACTTGTCAGTCAAATAGTTGATAGCATTTTCAGTCTCCATGCCACATGCTTTAAGTAAGTCTGTCAAAAAAAGGATATTTTCGCTGGACTTCCCTGTAAATATGAGAGAAGTTTTGGCCTGATCTATCATTTAAAATTTTGCTGGCAGAAGAATGAAATTTTCCTCTTTTCCCAAAACTGATTGACATAACTGCACAGGCAGATTCTTCATCTAGGTGCAGTTGTACTGGCACCAAGTCCTTTGACTGCTGGAGCTCGTTCCATCACAGCAATGGGCTGAGGTGAACCAGCAGCAGATCTTTGCCACCTTTGCCAGTGCTCTCATCTATCCATATCTCATAGGTGCTGCCCAAGGTGTAGCTTTGCTCTGCAGGAGCTGAGCCCTGTCCAGACTGTAGTGTGTGGCCAGGAGGGATTCAAACCTCCCTGAAAAATTAATATTTTTCAGGTAAAACCAAACCATTTTGTATTTGACATTTTTTCAGGGTTGACCCAAGTTGGCTCTTCCCACTCCTACACCACAGTGCCCTCATTTAGGGGAGGGTTGGGCTGCCAGCACAGCCTGGCCACGTGCAGGTTAAAGGCAGTGGGATCAGGGGCACTGCACTCCTTTGCTCAGCCACAGGCTGCAGGCTGTGGAGTGGGAGGTTCAATCCTGCTTTGCAGCAATGCTGTAAGATCTTCCCCCTGCTTACACTAAAGTACATAACCTTGAAGCTCATCTTTTGGGTCCAAATGTCTTAAAAATAGTGAGTTGGCTAATGCTTCCCTGTTCTGTGGTCAAGCCTCAGGTCTGTGGAATTTCTGGGGTGCCTTTTTGGGGTTTGAGGTCACAAAAAGCTGTCACAGGCCATGGGGTCACTGCTCATGACAGAGGCACTCAGCTGAGGGTGTCCAATCACTGCTGCTTTAGGGAGGTACCGACGTGTGCTAGCAATGCACAGCCAGGGAGCATCTCCTCAAGGCTGCACCCACACTCTCTCATTCAAAAAACTGAGCAGGGCTCACTATTTTGAAAGGTGGCAGGTGGAAGTGGGCTGTGTTTTTATCCAATAAATATTTTGTGTTTAAAAAAAAAAAAAAAAAAAAAAGGGAGACATTTCCAGAGCAGAATCAAGCTGTTTCTCCAGCTCTGCTCTGCCTGAGTGCCAGCAGAGCTATAAATTTCCATGTCCTTCAGTGCTCTTTGGTACCAGCCTGGTGACCAGCCCAGTAAGGCTTTTCTAGGGCTTCCTCTTGGAGCTGTTGTCCTTCACAAAAGGCATCTAAGGGAGAGGATAAAGAGTTCATGAACTCACGTGTGCAGCAGTATTTGTGTGGGTCTCAAGTGGGTCTCAACCCCCTAGAAAGGACCAGGCGCTGCTTGCAGTTTGTTCCTTGCTTTAGATCTTGTGAGACTTGCTTTAACAGGGATGTCCTGGGAGGGCTTCAGGGTGGGATTGAAGGCTCCAAGCAAAATAAGGTCAAGGAATTAATAATTTTTGTGTACATGCCAGTGACAGACCCGCAGAGGCATCTGAACAGGTTTTGATAGACTTGAGTATGACTTAAAATCTCAATTACTACCCCAGCTCCCAGTAGGAGGACCCAGGGCCAAGCAGTTGCACTGTAGAGGTGGGTAAGAGAGGGAAAAGCTTCCCGTGTCTGTGGTCACAAAGCCAAATTCCTGCCTAAGTCCTCAGAAGTAGCTTTTTCTGGCAATGCTTCCCTCTACCAGTAGCACAGCGCAAGACAAGTATCAAGTCTGCTGGGCTACAGTCAGGGCTCAAAATTAGTCTATTCTGGTGCATCAGATGGCTTCTCAACATGTCAGTGGTGCTAAATGTGCACATCCACCACCCACTCCTGAAGTGAAGCCCCTGCTAATGCCCCTCTTCCAAGGGGGTGGCGTTCCCAGACACCTGGGAAAGGTGGATGCTGAATGTGTGGGGTGTGGCCATGCAGGTGGGGCTGCATGGCACCTCCACAGCAGATGCTAACACAGAGGGAAGGGACCCAAAAATCCAAATCCTAATCTCTTCCCATATGTCCAGGGTGGGTCTCATGTTTTTTGGGCTCTGGAAGACGGTTTAATTGTTCATTATGTCAGGAAGGCTCATCCAGGAAGGACATTTTCCCATTTGCTCATTATTTATTTGTGAGGGATTTGTCCTGGTTCCCCAGGCTGGCCACAGGTTGCTGTGTCTGGGGGCAAAGCACACCAGTTCTTCTGCTGCTCTCAAATGACTGAGACCTGGGCTAGCAGTTCTGGTGTGAATCAGCTCATGGGAGGGAGGGACTGCAAAACCTCTAAGAAAACTCTCAGTCTAACAGAGGATCACAGAGTGGATTGGGCTGGGAAGGACCTTAAATATGATCTACTTCCAACCCCCTGTCATGGGTAGGGATACCTTCCACTAAACCAGACTGCTCAGAGCCCCTGACCATGAACGTTTTCAGAGATGGGGTATCCATGACCTCCCTGGGCAGCCAGTTCAAGTGTGTTCCCATTAAACACGTGTTCCATCAAACCAGACTTCTATTTAATTTCATCTCAGGGTTTGTCTCTGCCCTGCTGCACTAAGGCTGCTTTGGGAGAAGTTAAATTACAAACTGGGGCCTTTTGAAGGAGGATAAGTGTTGGGTAAGGCTGATGGCCAAATAATAACTGGGGCTGAACCAGAGCAGACATCAATTAGATGTCAAGGGATAAATCACAAGACACAGAGTGCAGATACTGGTGGAGACAGCTGTGGTGGTCATAGCAGAAATGCTCTTGTACCTGGGGAACAGACAGTGTATTCCCAATCCTGACCTTGGGGAGCAAATGAGGAAACCATCTTCTTAATTAATAAACTAAAGAACACCCATGAGAAAAGAAAATGCCTTTATTCTGTGAGGTTGGGGCTCTTACATCTCAGCTTAGTTTGGTTTTTTTTCTAAGGCAGACATAAAAAGACTCCATAATTTATTATTAGGACATCTGAATAGTTATTTATTGAGAAGCCACAGTTCTCACACTTTTACAACTGTCGGCTTGTATAAGGCAAAAAAAGCAAGATGGATCACTATTTTACACAGAAAGTAAAAGCTCTGGAGAAGGAACTGATGGACATGCAGTTACTGGTCAAAATGCAATGTACATGACATATATAAAAACCATTGTGAAACAGAGGAATTGTAAATTATGGTTACAATCTACCGAAATAAATATTCAATATATTATTATAAACACATTTGTAGAGTCTAAGATTGTAATTAAAGTTGTCTTTGTACATACACGGTTATTTGAAATTTAAACAAAAATGTAACATTTAGAGGAGCAAACGTCAACATAAAACAACTGCTTTGGACTTGTAATGTGGCATGATATATCCATAATGATAGGATTAATCTGGTGTGGCAATTAGAATGACTAATCCTCTGGGATGTAGTCTCTATGGAGTTAACTGCATATTGAAGGGAAGAGCCTGGTACTTTAACAAGGATGCAGAATGATTCAAACGGCTGTCTGGGTTTGTTTGTTTTCTGGTTTTTAAATGAACAGAGAGAGAACAAAAAAATCATTTGTAATTGCCTGGTTTTTCTTTTAAAAACAAAGCTGTTTTTTTTTTAATTAATTTTAAGCAGTTGGCATCCACAGAAGAGAAAGAAATGAAAGGACTCGAGTCACTCATCTTCACAACAATTTACCATCAATGTATATACAGTACATTAATGAAGCATTGTTTAAACTTTAATAACAGGGACACACCTAGGATGTTTTCTATGTAGTTTTTCCATTAACAGTATTAAACAATGGTGCTCCATATTGCTTATGAACATATAGATATGAAATTAGGAAACTGATGAATCAAAGAGAGGTGCTAATCTTATTACCACACAGCTAACATGGCATTTGTATTGGTAAACTTCTCATGGGCATTTAGAGCTGACATAAAAATTCCTAATGTGGCTAACTGAGTTACAGACGAGGTACATGCACGGATACCAGGCGACCCCCAGCTGCCCTAGTCATCCTCCTCATCCTCCTCATCGCTGTCCTTCATGGTGATGCCCTGGAGCCCCCCGCCCTCGCTGACGGACGCCGTGGCCTCCTCCACGGTCAGCCGGTTCCGGATGGTCTCGTAGGTTTTGCTGTTCAGGGTGGAGTCCAGCACGCCTTGCAATCGGAAATCTCGGTACGTTTTCTACAGCACAGACACAGGGAGAGGTCAGGGCCAACACCAGCTCCCCTGCACGAGTCAGCCCGTGCCCAGTGCTGGGGGTTTGTGGCCAACAATGGGAGAGGCTGGGATACCAGGGAAACCCCAGCCCTGGGGACAGTTTGTATCACCCGGGAAGCTCAGAGGCCACAGCAGCATCTCTGCTGGCCACTGCACCCTCCCTTAGGGTGCCTTGGGCAACAAATTACAGCTCTGTGACTCCAGCCCTGCCTTTGTGGGCTGGGCAGCTTCAGACCAGCACTGTTTTGCATAGGGGGGCTGTGTCTAAAAAGACATCGAAGCAATGTAAGGCTCTGCTCCACCTGACCTCCCTGGCTCCTGGATGTGTTCATCCTGCCTCTAATGTCAGTCATTTCTCTTCAGGCAGCAGGATGCTTATCCCCTGTACCCACAGACATGATTACACATTCCTGGAATGCTCCATATTAAACAATCCTACCTACAGTATAGGGATTAAATAAACTAAGTCCAGGACACTGGACGAAATTATTGAGGTATAAATATAAGCATAGGGCACATGTTTCTTAAATCTCCCTTTCTTCACCTCAATCTGGAATTGTATTTCCATGGTTCCCATACTTCCCTTGTTATTACAATTAATATCTCTTATTTGAATTTATGCTTAAAACCCTTCTCAACTCTGTGAGATAAAACTCTGGTCTCGTTCATTTAATTCTGTTCTGTGCTCTGCATAGAAACTATTTACTGTTCTGCTATTTCAGAAAGTCCTTGGGTTTGTTATAGCTGCTTCTGAATGTAATATTGGTATAAATAAAGCACAAGGAAAAAAAGCTTTCCTCAGCTAGCTGACAAGTAGGAATAATCTGTCTGTGCCTGTTGTTTTCAGTTATGAAAAGCACATTTAATACATTTCAGTTTTAATTTATTCATGCCTTCAATGTGTTCACTGCACACAAGACCATAAACATTATAAAATACTAGACCAAAAAGCATTAGATAGAACCTAAAATGATCAAAAATATATTTACCCCCTTCTGTGATCTTATTATTTCATGTAAACCACTGTGATTTCACACTGAAATAATTATCATTAGTCCAAGGCACACACACACACAGATATACACATACACGTGCACTTAAAGAAAAAAAATGCTACTTTCAGGGTATGTTATCTCACCTTTGTGATCTCTTAGAGTTGATTATATACATCCATTGTAAAAGAAACAACTTCAATTAACTATGAGAACAATCTCATTTGCATTCTGACAATAATCACGAGCCATAGTTGGGCTTAAATGTTTCTAGCAAATCAGCGTTAAAAACTTTTGGGTTGATTTAACCCATTTTAACACCAGAGCTCACAGGTGTGATCAGTGAATTTGTGCTCAGTGAATTTGTCCACAAAAAGGCTAATTTTGGTGCACTTACTGTACAGGTAGGGTCAAATAACAAGAGAGTTTGGTTTTTGTTTTTAATGCAATAAATTTGTTCTTATTTGCACACCTGTATTTTACATCTCTCTGCATTTAAAGTTCCTGTTTATCCAGTGCTACCTGCCATAGACAGAGCTATCTTAATTCTTTAAAAGAATATAAATGAATCCTTCATTTATCTGCAGTGACAGAGCACGTGCCACACACATGCAGGAGCACACAAAGGCTCCTCCAGACAGCGAGGGGCACTGGGAACAGCCTGGGTGCTTACCTTGACTATCCTGATGAGGGTTTTCAGCTGGTAGATGTGGAGCTGCAGGTCCATGCGGTCTGTCAGCCAAGTGCACACAACACTCATGGAGCTGGTGTACCATTGCTGCAAGAGAGACACGGCTTCTCCAGCACCCACACGGGGCCCTGAGCGACACCTGTGCCCCCAGCACCCCCTCACAGCCACCTCTGACCCTCACAGCCACCTTTGAGGCTCACACCCTCCTGCCAGCCTGCTCATGGGGTCCATAGAGTGACAGGGGAGACTGGCGTCTGCTCTTACACAGAATTTCCATGCATGGGCTTTTAAATTTTAACAACAATAACAACAAAATAAACTTATTAGGAGGGTAAAGGCCACCAGTAGTGCCTTGTAATCTGATTTTGCCATTGATGGCACTTGCCAGCAGTGATCTGTGTTTGGCTTGAGCTATGTTTTTAACCTGTTTCCCCCACAGTGAGAACACAGTCCTGCCTTTAAGGATGTTGGTCCCACACTCAGGTTACTTACCATCTTCAAATTCAATCATAAACAGCCACAGGATGGGTCTGGGACCCTGAGGGTGAGCAGAGGGGAGGCTCATGCAGGGCAAGGTTTGGCTGGGGGGAAGGATGCTGGTGTAAGCACCTATGGGTGGGTGCCTGCCCAGGCTGTCCGGGAAGTGCTTTGGTTTCATCCTCACAGTTATGAGAGATGGAAAAGCAGCAAAGAAATCAGCTTGTTTCAAGCTGCTGAACTCACAGGGCCCCTCCAGGGGCTGAAATTGTGCTGTTGTGTGTGCAAAGGGCTCGCAGCAGTGTGGCTGCAGCCTGCAGTGCAGGGCAGCTCTGGTGGGCTGTGGCACGTCTGATGCCCACAGATGAGCAGCGAGCCCTTGAGAGGAGGAAAAGCAGGGGCTGGGGCGTGGGTGGGGAGCCACAAAACCTCCCCATCGGGCTCAGCACAAGGGGTGGTTACAAAGCAGGTAAAAACCCATCACACCTCTGTATGCACAGCTGCACCCTTCTCGTGACCTCTCTTACACACAGAGATCAAAGCCCATACTGCAGACCAGCTGCAATTAATATAGAACCAGTTAAAATACTAAAGAAACTCCACCATACCAGTTTATGAAGATCCTGAGAGAGTACCATCCATAGTCTGGGATGCAGCTGCTTCCCAACAAGGCTGAAACTCTGCACCAGTCCAAGTCAGGTCTTGGTGCCCCCCTCAGTGCCCCCTTGGGCCGGGGTCTCTCACACAGAACATGCCCTGTCCTGCTGCTGGTGCAGCAGGGGAACAGAAACAACTGAACATTCTGTAATTGCAAAACTTGCCAGTGATTTGCTTCCCTCCATCCTTTGACACTGGCACCCACAAGGTGGCATGAGGCTCACCAAAGCAAACAAATGAGTCTAAACTAAACCAGCCCTGCCCCACAAAAATGTGTGCTCAAAACACATCTCTGAGCTGAGTGGCAGCACACCCAGGAGCTGCATGGGGAAGAGTTTTCCCCCCAGCTCCAATGATGCTCCTCTACTTTAATTTCTACACCACCTCTTTAAAAAATGGAGGAAATAAGGAGATGAAAGAGTCACTGAAGAAATGGCATGTGGTGACCTCATGCTCAATGCTTACACCTTGTGTAACTTGTGGCAGAGATTCTGCTGACCCTTCCTCTCCAGGACAGAAAGCTGGCAAGAGCTTGGTTGAGACTAATTGAGACTGGCAAGCAGGAGCTCTCAGCTGTCACCTGAGGTGCTGGCATCAGACTGGGGTTGAACAGTGAGTGAAGTGAGCTGGGCAGCTGGTGTGGACCTGATGAGCACAGGAGGGTCTGGTGGGGCTTCATAGCTCCCAATGCCTCAGACTGGTCTGAGAAGTCAGAGTGTCCCTGGATACCCCCTGAGGGTCCCAGGTACATGGACCCAGGGCAGCCAACAGCCAGCTGGTGGTTGGGTGGCACAGAGCAAGTGCTGCCACTGGGGGATCTGCCTGGGCTCCCAGGAAATGCTGCAGACCCACGTGGGCAAAACAGGGAAACTGTTAATGTTCATAAAGCTGCTTTTCTGCAATCAGTGCTTAACTGAGTCATGCTCTTGGGTGACACTAGCTGTGACCCAGGGCTGTGCTGGCACATGGACGCCCAGGTCAGCCAAACACCTCCTTCCCCTTCTGCCACCTCTTCAGATCGGAGCCCCCAGAGGTAAGGGCACAACCATGTGTTACACACACGCCCCCTCCCTTCCCCTGCCGCCTCCCAGCTTCCACAGAGCGATCTGCTGGGTGTTTGTGTCAACTCCACATGAGATGAGAAGTCCCTGGCAGGGGCAGGTCCTGCCATTTCTGTCTGTCCCACGCCACACACGCCCACAGGGCAATGTGATCCCAAACAGAAATTCTAACCTCTGCCCGGATAGTATTGGCAAGGTGACT